CATAGCAAAAGTAGACGAGCCTTGCGTATCAGATGGTCCAACAGTTTCCAATTCTAGTACAATCACAACTTCTGAATTTTCAGAAAAGAAGATTTCATTTTCTGAGGATGGTAAACGGAAATCTGATTTATGCAACATGAATATGGTCCAAAGAATTATTGGACCTTCCAGAGTCGAGTTTCAGGAAAATGATGCGTGTTCTGCTGGCTGCGTGGAAAATAAAGAAACATGTATGGTGAATGAAAATCATGCGCTTGTTCTGCATGAGAAACCAGAGTTCAAGTTACCACATTCTGATGCTAACTCTAACCCTGGACTTTGTGCCGAAAAGGAAAGTGATGAGGTTGACAGAAAACAACTTGATAGATTAGAGTTTTCAACTTCTTTAGCGAAAAAAGAAGCCGAATTATCAGTTGGTTCGAAGGAACATCTTGTTCCAGACTCGGTTCTTGAAGGGAGTGACTTGAAATCTCTGAAGCAGATTAATTTAGAACCAGTGTTATTGAACTTAAGTTTAAGCAAGGAAGGAAGTCTCGATCAGTGTCTCACTGTAAATGTTGGGTCTAGTTATGATGGTTCTATTCAGGAGTCAAATAGGGAAAATTGGGATCTAAATACCTCGATGGAGTTTTGGGAAGGCTGTTCAAGTGGCGATCCTCCCGAGCATGTTCCAGCTGTTCAGACAAACACAATTGTCACTACACACAGATTCTCAACAGAAATGGTTAATACTGATACTCTGTCAGGAAAGCTAACTCCTTTAGATGACAGTGATCATCTTCATCTAAGTCTTAGTTCATCAGATCATAGGCATGTAATAAGTCAGGAACAAAGTTCATTTGCCAAGTTAGGCTTTAGGAAAACAAGTCCTTCTCTAAGCTCAACAGGAAGAGGTTTGCAGTTTGATGATCTTAATGGTGCACTAAAAGTCGTAAAGCCAGAGCCATTTGTTGAGGCTTCCAAACTCATGTCTAAAAGTGATGAAGTTAATGTGCTGGGATTATCAGACAGTGCTATTGTGAAGCGCGAATTTCTTCAAATTCCCAATGCTTCAGATGTTTATATACCAATGAACCCAGTTAAGGCCAAATCTGTTAACTCTGAATCAAATTACGAAAGCAAACAGGAAGCACTCAAAACATTAGGTGGTAGATTAGATTTGGTAGCTAAGCAAGTTCTTCCAGAGGTAGATAGTTCTTGTCCTGCACCGATGCCTTTTGTGGCAGAGATGACTGAAGCAGCTGGAAACTCTTGTTCAACTGATTTGATCACAGATGGAGACATGTCAAACCATCCAGAATTGCAAACTCCTACTAAAGAACATCTTAATTTGAAAGTGCACGAAGGAGCATATTGTTGTGGTGGTGAACTCGTCGATTCAGAAATGACTGATATAAGTAAGGATCCAGGTTCCAAAGATTCCAATGGTCCTATTATAAAGCCTATAGCAATGCCTAGAAATCCTTCTCCTACAAATGATTCAATTATAGAGGCAAACATGTCGAGCCCTTCCGAATTACATACTCCAACTACAGGACCTCTTAATATGAAAGTGCACCAAGCGGGATATGGCTGTGATGGTGGACTTGTGAATTCGGTAATGACAGATGTAAGTAAGGATACATGTTCCAAAGATTCCAGTAGTTCTGTTATAAAACCAGTCATTGTTGAAGATGAAAATCAGAATAACCCGCTCTGGCGTCCTTTTACACACACGAATGAGCAGTGCTCTAGTTTGCAGGGAGGTGAGGAAAGTTCTGTAAATGATGAGGAAAAGATCAGTCTATCAGCTGATTTATTAGAAGAAGATCCATATAGTTCTGAATATGAATCAGATGGTAAGCTTGATGTAAATGAGGCCATGGATACAGTTGATAATGATATAGAAGAAGATTACGAAGATGGAGAGGTTCGGGAACCGACATTGACGACTCAAGTAGAAAGCAGTATATGCGAGACGAAAAAAGTAAAAATTTTTGATCATGGTGATTCTAGCAATGGACTGCCTGGTTCTGATTGTTGTTCCTCCTTGGTTTCTGTTAAGCAGGAAAATAAATTAGAAATCCTCGATGTTAAACGAGAAGACAATCTTCATTCTGTAACTTCGAATCAATCGTCCGAGCAAGAACGATCGAAAGAGTTGCCTGTCGAAGAGCATACCACTAGAGTGTGTTTGAACAAGGCCAACAAGGCTAAAATATCTGCCTTAGAGGACCAGGAAACTTCCCCTGAGAAAGCCACTAATGGAATTGAAGAATCGATTACGACAGTTTCTCAGAGCGACGCAGAGAAGGTTAAAACAGTAGACATCGTGCGAAACGACAATCCAGCTTTGCCAAATGTCGAGCCTTTAAATGATGATGATGTGACTGACGATATTACTCGTGGCAGTAAGCATAGCCGGATTGTTAGTCCCTGCAAACCTTCTACTTCTTCGCTTCCTAGTAAAACAAGATCTAGTTTGGCGAGGTCGGTTTTAACACAAACTGATAGAAAACGAATACCCGACATGGCGCATGAAGGGGAAAAATTACATCCACAAGGAAGGTGATTATCTACTTCTTAGCTGTGCATTAATTTGATTACATTCTGCATTGCTTTGCTGATTTCTTTCTATTTTCTAGAGATGAACCATATAGGGACGTTTTCCAGAGATTTTATGTGAATAGACATCAGAATCTATCACCCCAAACCAATTTTAGTCGTAGAAGAGGTAGATTCACTATCCGGATTAACTCTGTCCAAGGTGAATGGGATTTTAATCCAACAATCTCTCCAGGAAATTACAGTGATCAAGTACCACCACCCTATGATGCCCGTAGACGTAAATACATGCCTGCTGTTTCTGATGATGATATTGATCAAAACCATTATAAAATGAAACCTGATGGTCCATTTCGTAGCGCTGGTGATCATCGAGGTAGACAGATATTAGACGACGAAGGCCCTCTTTTTTGTCATATGGCCTCTAGGAGGAAGTCGCCTGGTCGAAGAGATGGGCCTCCTCCAGTGCGAGGTGTTAAAATGGCACACAGAATGCCTAGAAATATCAGTCCGAGTAGATGTAATCGTGAACGTGGATCGGAACTGGTTGGACCGCGACATGGTGAAAAGTTCATGAGGACATTTGAAGACGAAACCATGGATCCATTATATGCGCACCCTCAACCTTCATTTGAAGTAGATCGGCCTCCTTTTATCCGAGACCGAAGGAATTTTCCTATCCAAAGAAAAAGTTTTCAAAGAGTTGATTCTAAATCTCCAGGAACGTCCAGAGGACGCTCTCCTTCCCAATGGTTTCCATCCAAAAGAAAGTCTGAGAGGTTCTTTGGGCATCCAGAAATGGCACGGCGAAGTCCTCCACCTGGTTATAGGATGAGATCGCCTGATCAACCTCCTCAAATCCATGGAGATATGCCAGTTCGAAGACATGGTTTCCCGTTTCCGTCACTGCCACCTAACAATTTGAGGGATATGGGTTCCGCTCGTGACCATGGCCATATGAGACCAAGTCTACGAAGTCGAAACCGAACTGACAGAATGTCATTTAGAAACAGGAGGTTTGAAGATATGGATCCTCGAGATAATAGGATAGAGAGTAACGAATACTTCGATGGACCTGTACATCCTGGTCAATTGAATGAACTGATTGATGATGGCAACGACGACGATCGAAGAAGGTTTGCCAACAGACACGAACATCTTCACCAATTCCGACCACAATGTAATGATTCAGACAGTGAAAACTATCACAATGATGCAGACGAAAGAGCGAGGCCTTACAGATACTGCACGGAGGATGAAGAAGAGTTCCATGAAAGAGGTAAGATGAGGGAGAGGGAATTTGATAGACGTGTAAAGAACCAACCAGAAAATTTAGGTAGACGAACAGTGATTGAAGAACATGAAGTAGAAGAATACAGACATGGTCATGGTCGGCAGATGTGGAACGAACATCATCACCATCATCATCATCATGGTTTTGAAGACATTTCCCGAATGAAAAGAAAAAGAATTTGAAATTTCCTTTTCAATTCAGCTCAGAAGCCAGGTGAGATTCAGAAGAAGCTGCGTTGTTCTTGTGCTTAGGAGGTGTTTGGATCCCTTTATATAGAAAAATGGCTGCTGCTCATTGGATGGATGGACTTATCCCATCCATATCTTACTTATTAAATATTAAAATAATTCATTCACTTAAAAGATAATTCAATTCAATTTCATAAATAGTCTCTAAGTAATACGTTCAGCCTATTATGTTTTGAAAATTAAAGAAGAGAATTTAATCGGAAACTTCAAAATCCTTACCTCCTTCCAGGTACTCATGGAGCTTGATGATCAAATAAACAATGATGTAAGATTCTCTCAGGTTTCTTCATATATAATTCAAAAGCGTTGGTTGAATCTTAAGAGCGGAAAAGAGAAAGAAATCTGGAAGATTCAGGAACAAGCAGATGAACAAAAGACTAAATTATTGAAGTTAACTTTTGATTTCATCTTGCGGCCAAACGCTAACCTTCTCCTTCTCGTATTTGATATACAGAGCAGCCGCCGCCGCTACGAAGTATGCTTGAATCAGTATAATCGCTGGCGTGTGGTAATTGATGACGCCTTTTCCAGTGGCTAATTCCACTAGAACCAGTGCCCATAATCCGAGTATCGCAATCCATCCATTGATCCTCTCGCTGTACGGACTGAATCCAAATTCTACCTTAAGTCCGCCGGAAACCGCTTCCTTCAGCGGCACTGGCGGGAGATACACTGACGAGGCGGCGGCGGTTGATCCTTTCCTGGACTTCCGAGCCTTACGAATCTCTGCCTTCTTTCCCGTTCCGCGTCGGAGTTGGAGTCGGGCCAGTCGGTCCTCGAAATCGTCGCCGTCCGATCTAGGTTCCGAATCGGCGGCAGGAGATTCCGGATCTGCTGCTCTGATTACGAAGGTGAGAGTCTTCGGCTTGTGAGGCTTGGAATTGGAAGCGAGTGCGAGGGAGTTTGGGAATTGCAGTGAGGAAGATGGAATTGCCGCCATGGAAGGAGAATGCTGAGCTCGAGGATAAACTCGCGCCTCTGCTGTACCCGTCTGGACCTTATGTTTTTTTGTTTTCTTTTTATATTTTTTTTCCGCTCTTTAAAATTAGTGGTTTATTTTTTTCCTTCTTTTTTTGAATTAAATAATTTAGCGGTTTCTATTTGTTCCGTTTTTATATTTTTGTTTATACGTTAATGACTAGAAATGATAATTATTTAAAGTGTAGGGACTAAAAAAGAATAAATTAAAAAAATTTAAGACAAATAAATATTTTAAAAGTATTCGTGTGAAGTTTTAGAAACCAAATTCGTTAGTTCGCTCTTCAGGTCAATGCCATCGTCGATTTGGATTTCTCGTGATTCTTCCTTGATTCCATTCTTACTCTCTCTCGGTATCACCAGCAAAACGAGCATGTATTAGATCTGCGTTTCGGTATTGTTCGCATCTCTGCCTTTAGGCTAGTTATCTCTTTGAATCGATAAGTGTGTTTCTTTCGAGGCAGAGGGGAGTTTTGTGGAAGTTTGAGTCGTTGTTGAGGATCAGCTGTTCAAATACTGGAATGTTTTCTAGCAGTTCCATCGAATTCCTTATCAAGTGATTCTGGTGATTTGATGATCGGTTAGATGTGGAATGTGTTTGCGTAAATGGAAGTTTATGCTTCTTTTATTTTGTTCCTTTTAATTTTATCGTCAATTTAGTCTAGTTCGTTAGGAATCTGGAATCCTTTGTTCTTTCACCGCTGGAGTTTGATATACGGTTCATTGTGCTGTGTCTCCCCTGATCCAATCACAAGGCGTGGATCATCTAAACTTCTGTGGTTAAAATTTGAACACAGGAACCTCTCATATGCTGGATTTAAGATTTGGATGCTGGTTTTATGATATTTTCACGATGTAACAGTGCGCATCGCTAATTTCTTTAGTTTTCGCTTGAGATTCATTGATTATTTCGACACAATGTCTGTCATATGTTATCTTGCATGCTGAATCTTTTTTAAGATCACTAATTTAGTATTAGTATCCATACGGTGCAGAAATCGAAACTGAGTTCTAAGAAGTTAGTGAGATTTTGGTGTTGGATTGAAGTGATAAAAGATCAAGAAACTGTATTAAGCCGAGGTTTTGGAATAATGGCGGTACCAGAAAGTGAAGAGGTGCTTAACATTTTTCTTCGCTGTTTTCTGGATTTTGAAGCTCGTGCAAGTTTCTTCTCATATGGCTTTATAATTATTGTCAGTAAATGTTCTATTGGCACTATGCAGGTTGGTTATAAGCGCATTGGATTCTCAGTTAGTGATTATGATGCAAATCTTCCAATCAAGAAAAGGAGATTTCCGGTAGTGCAGATCTCTCCATCTCCATCTCCATCTCCATCTGAAGGTATATCTTCATTCCATCCAGATGGAAATTTATTGAAGATTGAGCGCCCATTTCCACCTAAAAAGGTATCTTCATTTAATCCCGATGAAAATTCGTTAGAGGTCGAACAGTCGAGTCTACCTGTGACAATAGTTTCAAGGTCTAGTGCAGACACATGTTATGGGTTGTCAAACAGGAACCAGGACTGTGTTTCTAATGAGAATAAACGAAAATCTGATACTCAGTCATGCTATGTGGATATAGTCCAGAACGATATTGGGATGCCAGGAGTCGAGTTTCCGGGACCCGGTTTGGGGGGACATGCTGTTGAATATGAAGATAAGTCCTTGGTAACTGAAAAACACTCTGTTCATCAATCACCAGAGATCTACGGTGGGTTGAAGTTACCATCAACTGGTGTCGACTTGGATCCTCTTGGTAGTAACAAAAGAGGAAGAAATTGATGTAAAAATGCCTGAAGAAAAGTGCAGCTCTTCAATTTGTCAAGTTGAAGGAGGAGCTCTATCAGAGAAATTGGTTTCTTACAAGAGTGACCTGAATAAGCAGAATTCTTTGGTGCCTGTTTTGCTGGACTTGTCTTTAAACAAGCAAGGAAGTAGCTCCCATTGTGTCAAAGGTAACGTGGGGTCTGATTGTGATGATTCTCTTTTGCAATCAAGCAGGGAAAAATGGGATCTAAATACCTCAATGGATTCATAGGCCCTTTTAGATTGGGAACATAAAGGCAACTCTATTAAAGCATTCATGCCATCAAAAGAGCATCTTCCTTCAAGTCTCAATTCATCTTCTCCAAAGCCTACACTTGAAGAAGATCCTTATGTTTCTTAATATGAATCAGATGGTAACTGGAATATTGCCGCAAGGTTGAAGACAACGATGATGATAATAACATAGAAGAAGACTATGAAGACGGGAGGTTTGGGAATCGATGCGAAATGAGCCATTGGATCATGCTGATTGTGATGATAAGAAGATCAATTCTGCTGGATTGCCTGATCATGAATGTTTCAAATTAGGTCCTCTGGAACAGGAAACGAAACCCGAAAATCTGGACTTTAAGAGTGAAGACGATGTTCATACTACAACTAAAAGTACATCTTGTGAGCAAGAACATGAAGATCTTTGTGTGAAAGAACCACAAGCCGTAGAGAATACTATTGGTGGGGATGTAAACAGGCCTACGAAGGCTGCAGGAAGAAGCCAATTATCTCAATATGTTAATAAGGACAAGTTGGAGGGCCACGACACCGCAGACGAAATCGTTGATGGGATCGAGGAACTGATTCCGAAATTTTCTCAGGGTGAGATGGAGAAAACCATTGCTATAGAGGTAGAGCAGAATAGGGATCTAACTTTGCCTACCAATATGTTGGACAATCGATCTGGGGAATGGGATTTTGGTCCCAACTTTTCTCCTGAAACATACAGTGACCAGCACAGATAGATTACCATGTTCCTGATCTTGATCACGACCGATATAAAATTATTCCTGATGGTCGATTTGTCGGTTTTGTCGGTGCTGACCGTCCCAGTAGGCCATTGCTGGACGATGAGGGACCTTTTTTTTTCCATGGACCCTCAAGGAAGAGGTCACCTGGAAGAACTCATGGACCATGGTGGCAAAATGGTTAGTTAACAGAATGCCTAGAGATTATAGTCTTAGTTGATGCATGGATGAAGTTGGTTCTTTTGATCAACATGTAGAAAAGTTCACTAGGAACTTTGCTGATGACACAGGGGGTCCGATATATCCACGACCTCGTCCTGCATACGAGTTAGACACACCTTTGTTCCGGGAAAGAAGGAACTTCTCATTCCAAAGAATTGATTCTAAGTCTCTAGTAAGATCCTGATCTCGCTCTCCAAGCCAATGTCTCTTTGAAAGATCTGATAGGTTTTATGGACGTCCCGACATGACACGTCGAAGATCTCCAAATTATAGGACAGACAGGACGAGATCGCCCGATCAACATCCTATACGTGCGCATATGACAGGCCAAAGACAAGGATTCTGTTTCCTTTCACCATCTGATGATTTGAGGGATGTTGGTCCTACACCCAACCATGGCCATATGAGATTTATCATTCCTAATAGGAATCAAACTGAAAGATTACCTCTTAGAAACAGAAGTTATGATGCTATAGATTATCAAGGATAGAGAGCAATGAACTTTTTGATGATCCCGACGCTCGGGTCAACTGAGTGAGTATGGTGGTGGCAAACCCGATGACAAAAAAAGAAGATTTACTGAGAGGCATGAACCTCTTCATTCTTTGAAGCATCCATTTGATGGTCGGACACACAATTTAGTTTGGTGTATAAACAAACCATAAACTTAGTAATTTCGTGTCTAATTAGTTCGTGAATTTTTAAAAAATATTGAGTATGTTATTTATCATAAAATTAAAAATTCAAGAACCTATTAGAGAAAAAATTAAAAGTTTGTAGGCTTTCTTATGGTAGCCTGTTGCAGCCTTTGTCCGTCCCGACAAACTTAGGTTTTATCTATTAGGAGTTATCAAAGGAGGAATTGACATATGCTTTACTTTCGGAGATTCGAAAGAATACACTTCTCCCTTATTCGTTAATCTAGTGGAAAGAAACTCTCTACCTGTCAGAGAAACTAGACATTAAGTAAGTGGTTTAATGAGGATAACTAAGTTAACATGTCGAAGCGTCTATCAAAAAGATACTTTAAGTAGTTTAATGAGGATAACTAAGTTAACATGTCGGCGTCTATCAAAAAGATACTTTGAAGGCTTCGAGATCGAACAGCGTGAGCATTTGAAGTTGTGATCATAAGTTGATAATTTACTATTTTTAATATTTGTAATATTAATGGGCAATTTATTTAGTACAATCAAACAACGGCAATGCTATCCATCATTGAAGAATGTGAAAGGATTTGATTGATTATTAATTATTTATACAACTGTGTGTTTTTTTTTTTAAATAACAAAATTAAACAACTGTACAAGATCCCAAGCGGCCGTCTTAAATTGTTTTAAAATATTTTTATTAATTTTCTATTTTTCATTTAATGTTGTGGTTATAATTACATGGCCTGTGGATGTCCTATCTTTTTGGTTGTAAATTGATTTTCTTTTTATAAAAAGGAGTTTATTTTTTATTTATTTTTATAATAATATATTATATTATTAAATTTGTTGTTATAACTTAATAATAAACTTCAGAGTCAATTTGTTAATTTTTTTTAATAAATAAGCTGTTTTCAATACATTAAATTATTCTAGTGAAAGTTTTAAAAATTAATTATTGAAGGTATTAATCATTTAGATAATAAAATTATGTAATTATGAATTATTGATTTTAATATTTAATTAATTTATTAGTTTATATATAATTTTTTATTATATATGTATTTCTAGCTTTTTTTCACACCATGATTGTCGTAACTCTTACCATAGTTAAGAATGTTGAAACTTTCAAGAAAAAAATTGAATTGGGAGAGCGAACCTCTTGATGAGCTGACCATACCTGAAACCGACAAAGGTGAATAACGAGTAAAGAATATTAGGGCATTCAAAAGAATTATGTCAAACCATCTCGACAAAATAAACTCATAACTTTAAAGTCTAGCTTGAATCCGTCACTTGACTTGGTCTCCTCTTATTTAGACCGAGTCATGTGAAAAATTAATTTCACCCGATTGCTAGATATATACATATTTTTCTCACAAAACTCATAAACCGAGCACATCTTATGAAATGATATATTTATTTAAATATGAAATGATGTTTAAATTTAAATCTCATGCAACATAAACATAATAATTAAAATATTATTTTTATCACTTTTGAAGTTATATATATATATATATATATATATATTAAAAAATATTATATTTTCACGTTAGCTTTCCACTAATAATTAACAAGGAAAACAAAATATTAGGAATAAAAATGTAATTCTGTCTAAAATAAATGAGAAGCTACAATGTAATCGAAAGCAGAGGATTATTCCCACATAAACGCCCGCGCCTGGTGCGTGCTATATATATCAACAATCAATGAGCGTAACTGAAACTTTTGAATCATTCTGATTTGACGTAATTACCCTTCCCATTTTCAAATCCCCAGAAAGGAACCATTTCCTTTTATTCGTTCTTCCCATTTTCCCTCGCTCCTCCTTCAACTCCGCTGCTTTTCTCTCTTTTTTACTTCCACTATCGCCGTCGCCGGCAACTTTTCGGCTTGAACTATTTTTCTCGCCACCGCTTTTTAATCCGTTCTCCTTCGAAATAGGAATTTATTTCTCTGCGGAATCTTACTGTTCTTCCCTTGGTAAGTCGCTGACTCTTGTTCTTGTTTTGAAATTGTCGACTAATCATGTAGTATTTCGCGTTAGCTTACTGATGATTGTTGATTTTGATTACTTGGTGAGGAGTAGTGGTGCGGATTGATTGATAATGTGGATGTTGGTACTTTATTTTTAGTTTGAGGAGAAGGAAGGAATCGGAGTTGGAATTTTGTGCGTGTGGCGTAAAATACGTTGAGATGATATCGTAAACTAGGGTTTGGGGGTGGTCTGTTCATAGTTTGAGTATAAAACTTCGCTTCGTCTGAAGGCTGGTTGTTTTTGCTTTTGAACGAGCTTTTAGGCCATTAGCTTGACGGTCGGAGGGCGTGAAAAATTAACAGGTTAATGGTTAGCGCCGATTATATGAAATTTCCGGGTTTCCTCGTTTCTAATTCATTTTCCCTTTTATTCTTGCAAATTCTTGTTCGTAGCTTGACAGTGGTTGCCTAATTCATTGTATTCTTTTGGATTTTCAGTCAATACATTATTACATAACATTACTTTCAGAATGTGGATTTCTGGCATTTTTTCAGCTTAGTTTTGAACTTGTTATTAGGTTTTCTATGAATGTGGATTTCTGGATTTCTGGCATTTTTTCAGATTATATGACATTTCTGCGTATGATGAATGCTTTGCTTCCATGGTTCTTTGTTCCCATTAAAAGTGAATCCTTTTACCATTTGTGGAAAGCTTAGTAGCGAAGAGCAGGGATCAAGTATCCATAGACTTCACCGGTTATAGTAAATCAGGTGTAGAGTTCACACAATGAAGAAGTTGTTCTTTTTCAGAACTTCAGCACCTAGCCACGGCAGTACTGAAGTTTCTCAATTAAAAACAGAAAAACAAGATTTCACAGATCATCCATTTGAAGGTGGGTTGGACAATGTTGCAGGTAGCTACAAGAGCTTCACTTCCAAATTATGAAAGAACAAACCTGATATTGATGAACTGAATGAATGCAGGTACTGGTCTTAGAAGAAGTCGCTCGCTGTCTTCAGCATCATTGCTTGATGGTGGGAAGCATAAAAGTTCTTCTGGTTCAAAGAATAAAAATAGATCTCTGTATGGTAACTTCATTGGTTCTTCAGATCAGCAATGTGAACATTCAAACCGGTAAGGCTTAAACCAGTTATTATTTTAAGAACAAGACGAGAATTTGTTGCCGTTCAAGTTAATCCTTCTTGATCGAATGTTCAATGCTTAAAACTGATTTATCTGGCCCATGGTATTGCTAGCTGTCAAACCCCACCATTAAGAAGACAGTGTAGGGCAAAGAAATTGGAGATGCTATATAATGATTATGGAGGTGTACCAGGGAGGTCTTGTTCTGCATCTGCTGCTTCATGCCGAAGTTATTGTGATTCTTCAGGAAATTCTTCCACTTCCTCTAGTAATGTCTCAAGTAAAATCTTGGACCGATATATTGATGATGGTGAGCAACAGGCAGAATCAAGCAAGCCCCAAAAGAGTATTCCTTCAAGAAATCACCCTAGAAATGGTAGTAGGAGGCGCCCCCCACAAGGTCGATGTACGGCACCCACTTCGCCAAAATATGTTATTGATGAGAAGACAAGTCTGCCATTTGAAGAATTTCCAAGATCGAATTATCATTTATTTCCTTCAAAGTATGCCGAAAATGGATTGGGGAATGAATCTCCAAGAACCATAGCGAAGAATGTAATTGAGAGACTCTCCCAATCTCATGGGATTCCTACAACAAATCCAATCACCGTCGGAGATATACATGATAGATCCTCTAATGAACGTTATGGTTCTAATGCAAATGTGATTCCCCAGAAAGTGTATTCAGTAAATGAACCGTTCGAAGCCATTAATAGAAATAATGTGGAGAGCTCTGGTGTAGATAGACAAAACTTAAGAAATCATAGTGAAGTGTTAAACCTTGTTGAAACTGAAGAGGATATGGATGTGGAACTCAAGAGGAGAATCAAGGTGGCAAAGGAGAGAGTCATGCTTTTCGGAGAAGAACGCGACCAGGAAAGCTATCTTCAACAGAGAACAGGAGTTTCAGGTTTGATTCAGACAATCAGACACATTAATGAGGAGAAAATGAGCTTAGCACTTGAGATTTTAAGTCTTCTACAGTCCCAAATTACTGAAAGGGCTTCTGCAAAAGAAGAGCTGAGACTGGCAAAGGAAATATTGGATTCTCAAACTAAGAAACTGGACAGAGAAAAGATTGAATTGCAATCAGAACTGGAGAAAGAGCTTGACAGAAGGTCCAGCGACTGGTCATTAAAGCTAGAAAAGTACCAATTGGAAGAACAAAGGCTACGTCAAAGAGTTCGGGAGCTAGCCGAGCAGAATGTATCTCTACAAAGGGAAGTTTCTCTTATTCATGAGAGGGACACAGAGAATAAATGCATAATATCAAATTCAGAGCAGAAGGCTAAGGACCTGACTGTAATAATAGATAAATTACGGGACGAAAACCAAGTTTTGACTCAGAATCTCTCCGACTTGCAGGATAAGTACAAAACTGCTGAAGAAGATAGAGAATCCTTTAAGAGGAATTTTGAGGAAAAGGATAAGGAATGCAAGGAGTTGTATAAAACGACAACGAGGCTAACGAGGACCTGCTGTGACCAGCAGAAAACAATCAGTGGATTGCAGGAACGGTTTACTTGCGAATTAGGGAAGAACACAGAAATCGAAAGGTTCGACAAGCATGTGGCGAAATTGCAGATGGAACAGATAAGGTTAACTGAAGTGGAATTGGGATTGAGAAGGGAATTAGAATCTTGCAGTTTCGAAATCGATTCCCTTCGGCACGAGAATATAAACATATTCAACCGCTTAAAGCACAATGGGAAAGACAATGGTGCTTTAACCATCAAGCTTGATGAGGAAATGGTAGCACGTGTCGATTATCTACAACATCAAGGGCTAACATTGTTGAATGAAGGCTTCCAGCTATGTGCAGAATTCTTTGAGTTCATGAAAGAGAGAATGCAGGGAATGGAAGTGGTGAAGAACAATTTGGATGGGCTATATTTGATTGAATCTGAGATGAAAGTTCAAGGATTAAAGCGTGGAACCGAAAGCTTAAAACGAAGTTTAAAGATAGCATCTTCATTATTGTATAAGAAATCCAATCAGTGTGTAAATGCAGATGAGTGGATGCAATTAGATTGTGATGCTTCAGAGGTATTTCATTCAACCGAATCTAGTTACCAATCATCCCTAATGTCAATTTAGTTTCTTTAAATGCTTTTCTCTCTTGCAGCATGTTGTAAAATATGAGCTTAGAACAGAAAGGTTACTAACGAGTCTGTTGAGAGAGAAGCTTTACTCAAAGGAGCTAGAAATTGAGCAGCTGCAAGCTGAAATTGCAACGGCAGCTAGAGCCAACCACATTCTTAGATGCGAGGTGCAAAGTGCACAAGACAGCATATCCTGCATTACACACAAGCTAAAGGATCAAGAACTCCAGGTAATTCTCCATTTTCATACTCAAAATAACCTTGGTTTGGTTCCTGTAATGAATGAATCTTTGGGTATAATAATCCAAATTCGTTACAGATTTTGAAAAGGAATGAGAATATGAACCGGTTACAAAATGACCTTGAAGAATCGACTACAGAATTGGCAATCATTAGGGGAACTGTGCCAAAGATTTCAGAGGAAAGAGATATTATGTGGGACAAAGTGAAACAATACAGTGAAGAGAATATGTTACTAAACTCGGAGGTGAATCTATTGAAGAAGAAGATTGAAACACTTGAAGAAGACATTCTTCTCAGGGAAGGTCAGATTACAATCCTCAAAGACTCCTTGAGAAACAAATCTTTTGACCTTCTTGGTAATATTGAATCCACAGACGAATTTCTCATACGATGATACCAAGAGAATCAGGCTTTCCTATTAATTAGATGATCTCACTGCACATAGTTCATATTTGTTCATAGTCATTTTTTTTCAAGGTGCTGTTCATCTTGCCTCCCTCATGATTTTTCTTTTATTTTTTCTGGCTCTTTTCAGTTTGAATCTTCTTCTCCACCATTTTTTCTTTTTTATTTTGTTTTTGTGATTCAGAGTGTAGTGGTTTTAAATGACAATCTGGGGAATTTCTGTTAGTGATATATATATATATAGATAGATAGAGAACCGTGGAGAAGATTCTGACTGTAATTATAATATGTGTAAGAACCCATCAAATGTTTAATGCTGCGCAAGTACACTGTTAAAGGTTATAAGAATCAAGGTTAAGTAATCTTTCTTCCATAATAACAAAAAAATGCTTCCATTTTCGCTTCCATGAGAATCAAAAATTTAAGTTTCAAAGTTTTTGTGTGTATGATGCTTCAAACACTATTCATATGATCTCGCAAAGATCGAATGCCTCTTTTTTCATTCTCATATCACTCGAATACATCGAAAACTACAGCAGGGCTTGAGAGTTTGAAAGAAGAATTGAGAAGAGAAACAAATGCTCAAACAAAAGCAAAGTACATAATCTTCAACGTCAACACTACCATGGATTAATGTGGACAGGTTAAGAAATACACTACAACGATTTCGATGTTACATATGTTCACCTCTGCTATCATCCTAACCGATACCGTCTCCCCCATGTCTGCAACGAAAACGACAGACGGTAGAGAAGTTAATGGATAACGAAAACGATAAAGAGTTCAATGCCATTTGAAGTTAATCTGAGTTATAATTGAAAAAATCTAGTAAGGTAACTCCTTGCTTCTTATTTGTTCATGGTCAAAACATACCGCCAAGACGAGGTTAGATTTCTAGCTTTTCGATCCAGTTGCAGGTTTTCCAATGCGGCTGAGGTTCTCATAACATCCTCGGGAAGGTCATTCCCATCGTATCGCCAACTGTGTTCATCTTTTCGATAACCAGACAATGAAGATCCTACCCTCCTACTATCTGAAAAACCTAAGATCATCACATGAACAGAGAAGAGGAAGCAGATAATTAAATAAGAAATGGCTACATGACTTACCAGATGCCTGAGAACCAGCACCAGACCTGACATAAACAGGCAACAAAGTTAGGGATGACCAAAATGAAGCTATATTATTAGTTCAGGCATGTGTTACCACCTTCCTATCGGAGGTAATCCCCCAACAACAGATGAAGAAGGTCTCCTACTGTTTCGAGACTCGTGACTGGACATTGAATCAGATTCTGATGTGGTTATTCTCCTTCCAGGACCCCGTGTTTGAGATAAATTCTGATTTTTTATAAGAAATGAATAAAATGTCAAGAAGTTGCCAGTAAAAACAAATAAAAGATAAGGAAGATCAATTTTGAAGGCCATGGTTAAGGTACAAATGAAAAAAAAAAAAAAAAAAATACTAACATCTTTCTAACGCATTAATTTGCTAACATCGGTTACAAACAAAAAATATACACATAAGTAGTTTGCAGTAGAACACTTGACACAGCAGGAGTGTTAAGAAAGATAGCATATCTCAAAAATTAAACTGTTTAGAGAACCAATTAATGAGATCCAACCAACCTCAAACTTCAAGAATCCCTCAAGAACATCCAAGAGCAACGGTCCACTATCTCCATTTCTGTTAAGATCATATCCGTTTTTAATACTAAATTCCTTCAACTCAGCTTTCCAAGAATCTTTTTGCTGCAGAATTAAAAGACATTAGACTTCGTGTAACTTTTTGTATCGTTATATTTTTTTGGGTGTTGGAGAACTTGGTAGACATGAAGGGGCAGTGTGCTAGGTTACCATATTGCACTCCGGGAGATAAACTTTTAGAGTGTGGTTTAGCTGAGCCCAATCCAAATATTCACAAATTAGAGCAGTAAGCAGACCCCCTGCAATTAAGATATCAAAATGTGGATAGATAAATTGCATAAGGTGAATCCGTGGATCAAAAAGAACAAAATTTTCATTGAGGGAACCAAACTTTCATAGATTATTTTTTATTTTATAATGTTCGAAAGTGGAGAAAATTATTTGAAATCGAACCTGAAGGTGAAGCGTGAAGCTGCTTTGCTCGATCATTGCAACTACCAAGTAATGCAGGTGGCAAGCCTTCATCTTTGTCAATAACACGATCCTCTTCTTCAATTGCCTCGAATACACTGGCTCTAAGTTCAGCCTGGCGAAAAAAAGGAGCGGGTGAATGATTTGTTACATGGAAGGGCCAATTGAAGCGGAAAATGTTAGTGAGAATTCAAGAAAGAGAACAAAATTGCTTGAATATACGGAAAGGACTAATAATGGAAGCGTATGACAGAAACCAGTCCAATATCCAAGGGCTACAGAACGCCCATGAATAACGAAAGTCCGATTCCACCAAGACAACCGAGAGCGCAGAAACCTTGAATCGATTCATATGATATCGCTGAAAACTTGGGAGGATGAATCAAATTTCGAAGTAATTTCATTCCAACTCCAACCAGCTTCAAACTAGAGAGAGAGAGTGAAAGAGTGAGAGAGAGATTCACTCTCCTCCGTCCTAATTCTTCCTAAATCTGAACGAAGAAACAAAACCCTAGCTTCAACCTACCGCATTCTGAGCCCTGACCGATCAACAGCACAAGAACACCAAAAATCCAAGAAATCCAGTAGAAAGAAAAACAGTGGAAGATCTAATATATGTCGAAAGAGGACAAAATCTGAACGAAAGAACAACATAAAATTCAAGAACGCGATGAAAATTCAAAAGAATTACACGGATCTTGGCGAGGACACCCTTCTTCTCGAGAGTCCGAGTGACGAGAGTCTTCAAGTCCATCATTTCTCTCGTATAATCGTCCATCTTTGTCTACTCCACGCGCCTTCGCTACGCTGTGACAGTTTTTCCTGAGCTCTGCGTGATGGCGGGTAAGAACATCAACTACGGGGAAGTGGGCATGAAAGGGAGCAGAAATAGAAGGTGAAAGCGAAACATGGCAAAAGAGGGTCAAAATGAAATCGTGATCGTCGCTATTATGGGAGCCGTGGGCTCCGTTGGAGGCTGCAGTTTCCTTGACGCTCGGCTAACCTGGGCCATTCCTTCTTAGTCATTTGAGATTTGGGCCTCAAGCCCATTCCTCCTTAGTCATTTGAGACTTGGGCCTCATGCCCATTCCTCCTTATTCATTTGAGACTTGGGCCTCAAGCCCATTCCACCTTAGTCATTTGGGCCGTGAGCCTCAAGCCCACTACTACAATTCTTTTTTTTTTATAGGTATATTCAACCATTCATTTGAATTTTCATAGTATTAGAACTCCAAAATTTCAAATTTATTTCAAATTTAGCGACTAAATTATACGTTTATGCCAAAAAAAATAATTTAGTGATTAAATTTATAATTTAAAAGTCTGAGACTAATAAGCCATTGATCAAAATAATAATAATGAGTGTATGGAATAAAAGACAATAATTTTCAATTTTTATTGACCTTTCCCTAGAATTCAGATCAAGATTCAAAATCTATGTCCCGCTATTCTCGTACAGCACAGTCATGTTAATTATCACTACTAAGAGCGAAAATTATCTCCACATATTAACACAAATAATTCCGGTATATTTTGTCATCACTCAAATGTATCTCATAAAAAATTTAACAGGTCATCTAACATAAAATTGTTAAAAGTAAAGCACGTGTAACTTTGAAGTTTTTAACGATCGAGCAACCAAAAATAAATGTGTACCTTATTGGTATAGATAGAAACTTTATATTCTTTTACGCATTTTTAATTCATCTTATTTTTAGGGTGGTTCTCATTCTAGGGTGATCCTAATTCATTTACTAATTTCTAATTTATTCTATTATTACAAATAATAATAATTATTATTATTATTAGTTTATTATTAGTTTTCATGCATTAACGGTCATATCACATGATTAATGATGTCAGTAATGTCAAATAAATATTTTAAATTTAATATATCGATAGTCACAGTAATTTTGATGTCTCCAATTTGTCTGATTTTTTTTTTTAAACATTAAACATTTTTATTGGTACAATTTAAAAATCATTAAATCACTCCAATATCAAAAAGATTCGATATGCTAGTTGTTTAGCATAATGGAATGAAGTGTAAAGGAAGGAAAACCTCAATGATAAATGAAATAAAGCATAATTCTTCCTTTTATTTTATTTTTTAGTTCCATTAATCTTTATTCTAGTTAATTGTATTAATATTTAAACTAAAAAGCAAATAATTGAGTGTTTAAAATTGAAACTTTTATTAATTTGTTAATTATTATTTTCTTTTATTTGTTATTTTTTAAACATGGTTTTTTTTTGTTGATCATTTATGCTTATCATTGGTTCTTTGTTAAAAATCATTTACTTAAAAATAATTACGAATATTAACTACTAAATAAACTCAAACACCTAAATTTTAAATTATACTATTTACAATATGTTTATTAATAAAAAAAAAATCAAAAATAATTATTTATCGTTAACTAGTGTAATAAAATTATTAAAATTAATTATGAGAACTAAAAAATATTGTTTATTTATATAAAATTCTAATTACATCTCCATTTTATTATGAATAGACTCAATTGCTTACAAAATTACTATAATAAATTATTTAATTATAAAGAATAAATATTTATTTATTTTGACAAAAAAAATTATTAAATTAATTATTTACTAAAATTTAATTTAATGATAATTAATTAATTACTATTAAATAATATAATAAAATAGTGGGGAGTAATTTATTTATTTATATGAAATTTGGATAATATTTATCAAAGACCTCGACTAATGATCCAAGCCATGTGGTTATTGGCCGTCCTTATAAAAACCGGCGACACCACTCTCTGAACTCATACAGACAAAACCCATTTTGGTTCTTCTTGTTCGTCAATGGCGCCCGTAGACCCACACTCTTACACCGATTCTTCCCACCCTCTAACCGTTCACATTTCCCTCTCTCTGTTCTTTGATTTTCCTTCCACCACCATTCATGCTTCTGCCCTAATTTCTCTCTCGACTTCGCACTCTGGTCCTCTCTCCCTCGATGCTCGTTCTCTTACCATTCACTCCGTTCTTGACCCTCAGTCCCATGCTCCGATTCCGTTCTCGATTTCTCCTCCTGATCCCATCAAAGGTTCTCTTCTCTCCGTTTCGCTTTCTGGTCAGTCCTCTTTTCTCGTGATTTACAGTACTGCTCCTTCATGCTCGGCTTTGCAATGGATGACTCCTCCCCAGACTTTCAACAAGACGCATCCATTTGTTTACACACAGTGTCAGGCTATTCATGCTCGTTCGATTTTCCCCTGCCAGGACACTCCAGCGGCGCGTGTGTGTTACTCTGCGCGTTTGAATATTCCCCGTCAACTATCGGCGGTGATGGCCGCGCGGAGTGTGGAGCGTCGCCCGCCGGATGTTGGTGAGGGTTCGATGTTGGCCGGAGGGGTTGATTTTCTGTGGGGCGGAGAAGGGAGAGTGGTGGAGGAGTTTGTGATGGAGCAGCCGATTCCGCCGTATTTGTTCGCTTTTGCCGTTGGAGAGATCGCGTTCAAGGAAGTGGGGCCGAGGACTAGGGTTTATGCGGAATCGGTGCCGTCGGTGCTCGATGCTGCAGCGAGAGAATTTGCAGGGACAGAGGAGATGATGAGGCAAGGTGAGAAGTTATTTGGACCGTACGATTGGGAGCGATTTGATCTGCTAGTGTTACCTCCGAGCTTTCCTTACGGTGGGATGGAAAATCCGAAGATGGTGTTCTTGACACCGACGGTGATAAAGGGGGATTCTACGGGGGCGCATGTGGTTGCTCATGAGCTTGCTCATAGCTGGACTGGGAACCTCATCACTAACAAAAACAACGAACATTTTTGGTTGAACGAGGTACCGTACTTCTGCCATGAATTGTACATTTTCTTTTTTGTTTGCTAATTTCATTGCAGTGTTAGCCAAATCAACTCGGATTTGTTCTGTTCTGTGCTAATCACTGATGATAAGATTCTAGCAAGAAGTGATTTGTCTTTGATTTTAGTGTCTGGTTCGATTATCATGGTACCCTAACTGAGGTTTTAGGGATTTAGAGTTAGATGCTCGCATTATTCACTGTCTTGCCATTTCTTAGCGAAGAAGATTTGGGAGAATATGGTCAAACTATGTGAGATTAAGCAAACTCAATTTTGTTCTTGTGATAATTTTGGATGGATTGATCAGAAAATCCTAGTTTTGGGTATATACGTTTATGGTAAAAGGATTCAACTCTCCCCCATATAATGGCCCAAGTCCACTGTTAGCAAATATTATCCGTTTTGATCTGTTACGTATTGCTATCCGATTTTAAAACATGTCTGCTAGGAAGAGGTTTGTCAGAGAGGTTTACACACCTTTATAAGGAATGCTTCCTTCCCCTCTTCAATCAACGTGAAGCTCACATAGAAGAACTCTATCATGTTGTTTTGACTATAAAGGCCTTTTTATTCCTCTTTCCTTCTTCTAATGGAAGTTTACTTTCTTCACGGATGGCCATAGGGTTTTACAACATATGCAGAAAGGAGAATTGTTGAGGTTGTGCAAGGGGAGGATGCAGCTACCCTCAATATTGGAATTGGTTGGAACGGATGGAAAGATGATGTTGAAAGATTTAAGGATAATCTGGAATTTACGAAGCTAAAGACGAATCAAGAGGGCGTGGATCCAGATGATGTGTATTCTCAAATACCTTACGAGAAGGGTTTTCAGTTCCTATGGCGTATCGAACGCCAGGTATGTTAAATTGTTTTTTATTCGAACGATATCGAACTTTTTTTTTAAATGTTAGTATTTGTCCTGATATTTCTCCTCTGAATGTTCAGGTGGGCAGGCCCAAATTTGATGAATTCCTGAAGAAATATATCGAAACGTTTAAATTTAAGTCGATTGATACCGAAACGTTTCTTGATTTCTTGAAAGAAAACCTCCCTGGAATTGAGAAAGAAATAGATTTGGAACTGTGGACTGAAGGCACTGGTATCCCTCCAGATGCTTATGAGCCCGTTTCTAATTTGTACACAAAGATCCTGTCGCTAGCTAATGACTTTAAGCTTGGTAAAATGCCGAGGGAAGATGAAACCGCTGATTGGGGAGGGCAAGAATGGGAGCTCTACTTGGAGAATCTGCCTAAATCTGTTGAAGCCTCCCAGGTACGGATTTTTCGGATCAATATGTTTATATATATCATATTATCTCTATTCGTATGACTTCTAAGAAATGATTGAGATGTCTTAACTATCGAACTATGAATGTGTAGATCCAGGCACTAGATGCCCGTTATAGGCTTTCGGAATCAAAGGATTATGAGATCAAAGTTGCATTTCTTCAACTCGCAATTTCGTCAAAGTTCCGAGATTGTTATGTTGAGGTCGAGAAAACTTTGAAGGAAGTTGGGAGAATGAAGTACCTCCGCCCACTCTACAACGCTCTTACACAAGGTTCCGGGATGGAAGAAGATAAGATTTTGGCAAAGAGGATATATTCCGAAGCCCGTGAGAGTTATCACCCGATCGCTCAAAGGGTTGTTGAGGCCATCTTCTCCAAGAACATGTAAGTATTGGAAACTTAATTTGTCACCTACCATTGATGTTTGGAGGAGTCTCTCTAGCATTGTGGTCTAAAGCCTCTCCGGCAAACTATTTTCCCAGCTTGTGGAAATCTTAATAACTTTTGAGTATGAAGAGAATGAAAAAAGAGGTGACTTTAAATAGACTATGGAAGAAGACTGCTTAAATACTAATTTCCTAACACCTTTAAATTGATCTATGGAAGAATACTAAAAGAAATTATGAGTAATATATACCAAATTAGCAAACCACGTCCCTTCTTAGTAGCACTTTAGGATGAATTCCACTATAGAGATTAGAGGGGTCCTGGCCATAAGGTGGCTTTTAAAAATTAAAAGTGAAATAGCAATGGAATATCATATTATCACAAAAATTATAAAGTTTAAATACTCACTTTGATCATTGCTCGACTTCTTTGCACTTGCTAAATTTGTATGTCATTCTGCAATTCGGATATTGCATATGCCCACAGAACGAATTAGGATGAAAAGTGAGAGATCATTGCTAGGTAGAGCAAAAGGCATTAAGAAATGCATTCGGACTCCAAAATATACTCCACTGCTTCTTCAACAGTATTAACGACCTGCACGAATCGAAGTAGAAACTCGAGAGTGATTGTCTTAATGTCTTAATTTCATTACATATCATCAACTTTCTACTTACAAGATCAGCTGGAAACTCGACATGGTTTTCTTCGCCCCTGAAAACTCCTGTCCTTGTTAAAATAGAAAACCAAGGTCGTCCTGCCTGAAATCACAAATCGATATTGAACGGTAATAGCTGATTTTCCAATGTCACATATTACAATGCCGATAAAATGATGAAATTATAAGGATAAAAAATGCGAACCTCTCGTGCACCTTTGATGTCTACCACGGGATTGTCACCAATCATATAAAGTGTTCTAAAACCATTAAACTCAATATCTTCTTTGTTCACAAGATGATCATCACAGTGAGATGAGAGAATCTGTCTCAACACAGTTTCAACATTCTTAAACACAAGAGGATTTGGTTTCCCGTAAGATACATACTCGAGAGGTCTATGGTGAATCCTGTGAATCAAGATCAAGCTGTTTTAACGAATGCTTAGAATAGTAATAATTCTAACACAAAAGATTAGCTTCTGATTAGCTGCTGTCTGAATGCTGTTGAAAAACCAGCAAAAATTATAGAACAGTTTGTCGAATGTAAAGAGAGAATAATCTCACATAGGAACCAAAAAGGAAAATGGACCAAAATGTTGACATCTTGTTTTCTGAGTATTAAGCATCAAATGGAGGAAATTTTGACACAAGATAGGAACTTTACCTATTAAATATACTTTCTAGTGCAATTTTAAAGGCGCCTATCCCAAGCCGCTTAAAAGGAAATGCAGCCTGCATGAAAAACCCAATCGGTACATTCTCAATTTTACTGGCAGTTGCAGCCATAAAGCAATGGAGATGCAAGTAAAAGAAATAACAAACAATTGCATGACACTACTAAGAGTTGTGACCTTGACAACATGAGGAAGATATATATTCTCGATGAAAAAATGTTAGAGATTCGAATCTCCACTTCTATACGTTGAAATGAAGAACTATATGACCCTTTGTTGGTAGAAAACGCCAGAACTATTCTAAAACTATTTAAGTGTGTTATTTGCATGAGCAATTCATTGCTTGAAGAATCATTGAAACTAACCTGATATTCAAAATCATCTGCAGCAAAATATAAAGGCACTTGATTCCCATTCTCCTGTCCTGGAAGGCCTCCAGATCTTAAAACATCACATAGAACCTAATTCATTCATCAATGAGTTTGAAGCTTTTGCAAGAATGCCTATTATCAAGATGTCAACATCAAGAAGAGGGGCTTAATGCAAAGTTGGATTTCAATCTAATTGCGTTGAATCTGAACCTTAGTGGAAAACCTGGTCAAGGAAACTCAAACGGGAAAAGGAAAGCTGAGTATCAAATTTACAAATGAAACAAATCGGCGTTGGTTAAAATTTGGCCTTCAAATCTCGCAATTTCGACAACCGAAAAGGTTGAAAAAAGATTGTTGAAGATAAAATCAATTGGTGAGTTGAAAGATATGCAATCAGCAACTCAGCAAGTCAAAGAATAAAAGGGAGAGAATGAATACTTGGATATCCCTGCCCCAATCAACAGGATCACTAACAACAAAAGCTGCCTTCACTCTTTCTGATAACACACTCTGTTTTCTCATCAACTTCTCGGGGTTGCAGGTCAAATCAAAAGCTTGTTGGGATGTCCAGTTCTTGTATTGGGATACAGGATCAATATTCTCAAAGAAGGAAGCGTACTCATCAAGGGAGAAAACTTTTCTGTTAAGGTATAGAAAAATGCATACATACGTGATCCAACAAGCTCTGAATGAAAATGGACGAAAGTTAAACCAAGAAATATGGCTTAGAGCTTACTTGAAACCATACTCAGACATAACAAGAGCTGGCTGCCCTTTCCCGGTCGCAATAATAAGTTCGTTCTCAAAACTGAGATAAAAGAAATCAGCTAAATACCAACGTTAATAAGAAACGTGATGCAAAATATCATTAAAAAAACCTTAGTTCATCCAAAATTTGTGAGTTTAAAGCATGTGGATATAGGAAGAGCTCACGAAACTTATTGGCCTGAGTCCCTAAGGTATCTCTTTCAAAGCATCAGTAATTTAAGAGAATATCCAAAGCTCACTGTGAAGTTCCACATTGGTGGAGAGCAAAACACTTTTTATAAGGGTGTGAAAACCTTTCCCCTAGCAGACGCGTTTTAAAGCCTTGAGGGGAAGCCCGAAAGGGAAAGCCCAAAGAGGACAATATCTGCTAGCGGTGGATCTGGGGCGTTACAAATGGTATCAGAGCCAGACACCGAACTATGTGCCAGCGAGGAGGTTGTTTCCCAAAGGGGGTAGACACGAGACGGTGTGCCAATAAGGACGCTGGGCCCCAAATAAGGGTGGATTTGCGGGGTCCCATATCGATTGGAGAAGGGAAAGAGCGCCAGCGAGGACACTGGACCTTGAAGGGGGTGGATTGTGATGTCCCACATTGGTTGGGGAGGAGAACAAAACACTCTTTATAAGGGTGTGAAAACCTTCCCCTAGCAGACGCGTTTTAAAGTCTTGAGGGGAAGCCTGAAAGGGAAAACCCAAAGAGGACAGTATCTGCTAGCGGTGGATCTAGGCCGTTACCCTCAATCTCATCTTTTTTCATGTTAATCTCAAAACAACCTTCAAATGGTCTTTCATTTTCCTTTTTAGAAGGGGGATGAAAAAGGCTATATCACTTCAGAAAGCTAACTATCCATGCGAGGAAATCTCCTGCAAGTTAACGTTCTTATTCTTTCATTTTGATGTACAACCTTGTCTACTTCAAAAGTATCGATATTGAGGGGAATAAGAACACTTCAAATATCTATTAAGTTACCTATTCAACAAACTTCTAAAACTTGAGTGACCCTGTACGACCTGCATCAAAGGTATTGAAAAATGAGAGGTACAATAAAACGCACGAAATTAGTAAATCTATAAGACATTCTACACAAATAACTACCTGAGAAGGCAAGACATTCACTCCTAAAAGTTCGCTCAATTCAATGGCACGTCTGGATTCTGGAGTACCGCCTCCTTTATAGGTAGAGGAACAATTTTACCATTATAAGACAGTACTGAATACAATGAAGAAAGGGCCACTCAGTATTGAATACAAAGAAGAAATGAAGAGAAACTCACCATTGGTCAAGAAAAGAAAAGGAACTTTCAAAGTACCTAAAGAATAGGAGCATCAATTATATCAGATACATAGTCAATTTACAGAACCATGCCCAGAAAACAATAAAGCAAAGCAATATAGATAAATCAGGCAGATGAAAAATCTTGCAGTTCGTCTAGTTTAGCCGTTCCACAATCAACTAATGGGCGGATTGTTGATAAAAGAGAGAAATAAACTGTTATTCAATTGTTTCCACTAAAAGGTGTAAGGGTGCTCGTGATGGTGTGGAATATAAACCAAGAAAATTGTACTTCGTTAAATAAACAGATACCAGAGGACGTAGAATCCGCATACAATCTCTTCAAAGCTTTGCTAGATCCTCCAATAGGACGGTGGCCCCTTAGAACAACTCCATCAATGTCAAATGCAATCCCAAACGAAGAACTGTAATCGTAAGCTATTTTCACTTCTCGATCATCATTATCAACAGCAATAAATGGTAAATTTCATCTTTCTAATCAACAAATAAATAAAACATGGTCAATTTCTATGAAAATGGAGGGAAAAAAAAAAGAAAACGGGACTGGAATTTGTCCTAATCCTATGAAAATCCTTTACAACGCTTAAAGTAGCTAACCAAAGAATCAACTAAAATGCGGAGAATTCAGAGTGAGATTAAGACGACAGACCGTTCTAGTCGAGATTGAATCGGAGAGAAGGAATAGAAACCAGCAGAAGCCTGAGATTGAAACGAACGAATATTTCCTTGAGAAACTCTGAAGACAGTAAGAATTTTCATCTCATTTCCACGCAACAGCCCCCCTCGCCGAGTTCTGTTGCCTACGACTGCGAGTGGCGCGCGCCACATGAGCGACCAGTGGTCTATGTTTTATGATAGATTTCAATGGTATGAAATATCAATTTTTGGTAAAAATTAATTTGTGATCTAAAATCAAAACTTTAAAAAACATTAAAATGTTTTTTTTTTCAAATATGTTCTTTTCCGTAATTTCATTTTAAATCATTATTCAAAAATTTGTTTAATAAACACAGTTTTTAAAATAAATATTAAATTGAATATAAATTATTATTTATTTATTTATTAAAAGATTTTAAATTTTATACTTTTAGAGGTGGGAGATAGAAACCTCTCTTTGGAGTGGAGGGTGGGTTATTACAAATAGTATGAGACACATGTGAGCTGGGTTTAGACTATTAGAGTTTGGACTATTACAAATAGTATCAGCCACATGCGAGCTGGGTTTAGACTATTACAAATAGTATCAGCCACATGCGAGCTGGGTTTAGACTATTACAAATAGTATCAGCCACATGCGAGCTGGGTTTAGACTATTACAAATAGTATCAGCCACATGCGAGCTGGGTTCAGACTATTACAAATAGTATCAGCCACATGCGAGCTGGGTTC